TGAGCTAGGATGACGCCGCGGCACTCACTGTAGCCCGGGCAACAAAAGCGAGATTCTGTCTCAAAAAAAAAAAAAAGCATGATGTTTGACCTTCAGACACATGACCTCTCTGCCTTCTTCCTGGTGATGACCCTTGACTTGCTGGCTGGGTATGTGGATGAGCACTGGGTGAGAGATCCGCATCTTGGGTGGGAACGTGGTCCCTTCTCACCTTCAGCGGCCCCTGAAATGGAGGATTCATACCTATCTGACTTTCTGACATTGTCCTATAGATCCAGTGGTAAGTGCTGCATAATGTAAGGTGGTATTATCATGAATAATAATAAAAGACTAAATGGTCAAAGAAGAAAACAAAATGCAAAATAATATATACACACCTGCAATCTGCCTTCAACTGACACGCTCAGGAACAAAAATATTTTAATACATTTAATTGCCTAAATTGCTCAAGTTTTTTCTTTAACTCTTGTTTTGAAAATATTTTAAATGTTATTAGTAAACTTTCTGCCCTCATAATTTAGAATAGTAGAATATTAGTGCTGAAAGGGATGCATCATTTCTGGTTTTACATGAAGAATCACCTGAAACAATTTTTAAATATGCAGATTCTCTGGCCCCACTTAAGTCCCTCTAGGCCAGCATCCCCCTGGCCACCGGGGAGCTGCCAGCCAGCCCGTGAAAGCCGCTGTTCCAGTACAGTTCCCTTAGAGAGGGGAAAGGATTCATCTCAGATATCATATCTTGCCAACAGCAGAAGGAATGACACGTACGTTTTCTTTCTTTGACTTGATAGTCTTCCTAACCCATTTGTTACTGTAGTTCACCACACAACCTTTTCTCTAGGGAATCAAGAATTTGTCATGCCTTAGCGTGGTGCTTCCTGGCTGGGCTGCAATATGTGGCTGCCTGGCTCACACTCCCCGGCATTCTGGGGTCGTTAATAGAGGGTGCACCCTGGCCATTAGGATTTTTTCAAACTCCTGAGATGATCCTCATGTAAAGCAAAGTTTGGAAACCATGCTTAGGGACTTTAGTATAGTTTAAATAAATAAATTATCTTGGAAGAAGTTTTGTTTGCTTCTAAACACTTCCCATATAAACTTGTTTCATTGTTTTTTTAGACTCTTTAAAGACAAAGGCTTAAAGTCTTGATTTCTTTGCTTGCGGATTGAGTGAGTGTTTTATTAATAGAAGTGCAAATTTAGACAGTAATATAGAGAGCTGAATGATCATGGTTTATCATTTTACAGATTAGAAGGAAGAATGATACAGATTTCTTAAAATGCAATTTTAGAGTGTAAAGATACAGGTTCCCAATAATTTGAGATCTTTTAATGTGGAGTGGAGATAGGGGTTTATGTTGCTGTCTTACATTGTAATGCATCAACGAAAACACTAAGTTTGGTTTCCTGGTTTTAAAAGTCTGCAGTAGGATTGTAGGAGGATTGAATTGGTGAATTAAATAAAAGTTTCTGCCCTATAATTTAAAATTATAATGTTAGTCTTGAAGGTTATGTTAGTATCCCAATCGTTCCCCTTTTTCCCCACTGAAACTGAGGTATTACCTGCTTATTTTTGTTCCTTATTAGATTTAAGATAATCTCTGTTAAACTGAAATTAGAAACTTTTTAACATAGTCATATTTTTCTGTATAAATATATATTAAGGGATTAGATTCTATTATACACATGTGCTATTTCCAAAAAAAAACCTTTTAATTGAATTTTAAAGCTGAAAAAAGTAAGTTTACAGGACATATCTTTCAACAGCTAATTACTGAAGCACGTCTCTCTACTGAGATGGAGAACACTGAGGTCTGGAATATAGGATAGGACTGACATTTTTATGTTCTCACGTGAGAGGTAGCTTACATGCTGTTTCTGTGGTTATGAAAATGGTGTGGAACTCAGATGAGTCTCATGGCCCTAATGATGTTAAACTGGAAGTAACACGGATAGGTGATGTCCTTTCTGGGCAGCCCTGCAGAGCAGGCCTGATGAGAGCTGTTAATCCCGAATTCTGTGTGATATGAAGGTGCAGGCTAGAAGGTATGAAGGTCAAAAAGGTTGGGAAGTGTAGAGCCTGTGGGTGAAGTAGCAGAGTCTCAGTAGATGGCCTGGCCTGGGAGGTGGATGCTGGAACCTGCAAGAAGAGAGATGCTGATGTCGGCCCCAGAAGATTCTGAGCATAGATTGTTCTCATCACTGGTTTTCTGCAGTTTCATTGTGATTGTCATACCAGAGTGTTGTTTTTGTTGTTAGCCTACTTGAGAGTCACGGGCCTTCCTGTCTTTGAACTATTCTGGAAAATTCTCAGCTGTTATTTCTTCTGCCTGTTTTCTCACGCCTCCATTGCTGGGAACGCAATCCCATGTGTCAGCCTTTGCTCCCATAGCCCATACCTGGTGATGTTGCTATATTTCTTTCCTCTCATAGCTCCGTATTTCATTCTGGATATTTTCTATTGATTTCTTTTCCATTTCACCTTTTACTTTTTATAAGTCTATTCTGATGCTAACCCTGCATATTGAGTTTTAACATTTCATTTATTATTTTTCAGTCCTTGTAATTGTATTTGAATTTTTTAGAGAAATGAATGATCATGGTTTATCAATTTACAGATAAGAAAGAAGAATGATACAGATTTCTTAAAATGCAATTTTAGAGTATACAATTTTTTTTATCATTTCCAGTTCTCTGCCAAACTTATTAATCTTGTCTTTTATTTCTTTCAACATAGTTAGCATATTTATTTTGAAATATATACCTGGTAACTCCATTTTCTGGCTCCCCCAGTTTCTGTTTTTATTTTCTATTGTTTTCAGTCATATGTTTGATATCTGATATGCCTGGTTATTTTTTATTTATCTTCCTATCTCAGGAATTGAGAGGATTTGAAGTTGGCTTCTGTCTCTGTGAGGCCAACTATCCCCAGGGGGACATGGGCTTCAGACACCGGTTCGCCTCTCAGGGTTTCTTCCTCCGTGACTCATTGTCTCATTAGCTGGGCAACATCGTCAAAGGGCTGGCATTTTCTTGTTCACTTGCATCTTGTCCAGCTTTTCTGCTGATCACAGGGAGGAAACTGTTCCAAATCAATTAGTACACCATTACTAGAAATAATGAGTGAATTTTAATGGCCATTTGAAAAAAGAAAACTTTTCTAAATAGAGTTTTCTCAGAGAGAAAGAGCAGTAAGAGGCTAAGTCAAGAGAAGAAAGGATTTTTAAGATGAACATTCAAGTCATTGT